TTGGCCCTCTTTCTCCCTACTCAAAACCAGTCGTCAACAGTTTGGGGGTGAAAGTTGATGCTGGACTTAAATTTGATGCTCACATCAATTCTGTGATCCGGTCCAGTTTCTTTCACCTGAGACGCCTTGCAAAAATCAAGCCTATGCTGTCAAGAGCCCACCTGGAGCGGGTACTGCATGCATTTGTAATTTCTAGGCTTGATTACTGCAACTCTCTCTATGCAGGGTTGTGTCAGTCATCACTGCGTCGCCTACAGGTTGTGCAGAACAGCGCAGCCAGGTTCCTGACTGGGAACAGGAAACTGGACCACATCAGTCCGGTTCTGGCCTCCCTGCACTGGCTTCCGGTTTGCTATCATTCACACTTCAAACTCCTCGTCTTTGTTTTTAATTTCTTCCAGGGTGGTGCTCCCCCCTATCTGGCTACTCTCCTGAACAGACATTCATCACGCGCTCTGCACTCCTCTGACCAAGGCCTGCTCGTTGTCCCTCGTTCTACGTGTCGTACTCGCGGGGACCGGGATTTCTCAGTCCTAGCACCTTCACTCTGGAACCAGTTTCCACCCTCAGTTAGGCTGTCCCCATCTCTGCCAGTCTTCAAGAGTCGCCTAAAAACCCACCTCCTCCGCTTGGCGTTTCCTGAACATGTTTGAATTTGGCCCTCTTTTATGTTGATTTTTATTTCATAGTTTTCATTGGTTCACTCTATCCCATTTGTCTTCTACTAGAATGTTTTACCTTTTTTTGTAATTTGTAATCTGTATTTTGAATTGCTTTTATTTTCTGATTTATTCACTATATTTAACTTTCTGTACCATGTTCAGCGCTTTGGGCTTCCTGACAGGGTTGCGGAAGGCGCTTTATAAATAAAGCATTGATTGATTGAAAAAATTTAAAAGCCCATAAAAGCACCTTGTACTGGACTCTAAAACGAACAGGCAGCCAGTGCAAGGAGGCCAGGACAGGAGTAACATGCTCCATCTTTTTCGTCCCAGTGAGCAGTTGTGCAGCAGCATTCTGCACCAACTGAAGACGAGAGGTGGGATCGTGAAACGCCAAGGTACAAAGAATTACAGTAATCATGCCTTGATGTAATAAAAGCATGAATTACTGTTTCAAAGTCCTTTTTTGACAGCAAGGTCTTTAATTTGGCGATCCTTGTTAATTAGGGCTGGGCAATAAGTTGAAAAAGTTTCATTATCAAAATTTCTGACTCTTATCAAGATCATTTTTCCCATGTCAATAAATCTGATAACAGAAAAATGAAAAGATGTGTGTAGGTGTGCAACGTTCGTGTCCCTTTAAGAAGCTGTACCACCTTGAGTCATGTAAAAATTTGATTTAACATAATACATGTGACAGCCCCATCTAGTGGACAACTTTTGTTACTGGGCATACCTGTAGTTATCCATTTATCATTATCGATATTGATTTTAGACCATACCACCCAGCCCTATTGTTAATTGATAAAAACTAGATTTAGTCACCACTGATAAGCCTGTCCAAAACAAGATCCCCATCCAGTACAACACCCAGGGAAGTCACACTCAGTTTCAAGAATGGGGCGAGCTGACCGAGGTCCACTGCACCCACCCTAGACAAAGTACTTGGACCAAAACCTACAACCTCTGTCTTTTTATCATTAAAAAGAAGGAAATTAGAGAACATCCATTGCCTAACCTCAACAAAACAATCTAAGAGACCGCAAAGCATGATTGTGGCCCCTCTTAAAAGGCACGTATACCTGGGTATCGTCTGCACAGCAGTGAAAGTGACACCCATGTTTCTTAAAAGTCAAACAATGAGGTAGCAGATACAGAGAAAACAACAATGAGCCCAACACAGAACCCTGGGGAACCCCCCATGAGAATGAGGCATTAGAGCAAGTAAAATTTCCCAATGATACACTGACGGTTCTGTCAGCCAGGTATGACACAAACCAATCCAGAGCAATCCTGCGAATACACACAAAGGTTTCCATCCTAGAAATCAGGAGAGCATGATCAACAGTATCGAATGAGGCATATAGGTCCAACAATACCAAAACAACAAAGTGTCCAGAAACAGTTCCCAATAAAATGTCATTAAAAACTCGAAGTATTGCCTATTCTGTACTGTGGACTGGCTTTAAACCAGACTGGAATTTTTCCTAAATGTAATTTCTCATCAAATACTCAGTCAACTGTGAGTAAATTACCTTCTCCGGTACTTTAGAAGTAAAAGGAAGTCTGAAGATAGGTCGATAACTGGACAAGGCAGATGAGTTGAGTCCAGCCTTCTTCAGTAAAGGCTGAACAACCGCATGTTTCCAGTTCCCGGGTACTACTCCAGAGACAATGCTCTGATTAATAACGGCAAGAACCCAATGACCAACTGATAAAAAACTTATTTTAAAAGCCTAGATGGCATCAAATCCAAGGGAGAACCAACAAGTTTTAAAGAGTTAAAATCCCAAAGGCACTAAGGCAGTCCAACGTAAGCAGCTCAAACTAACTAAAAGTAGCTGAACAGGGACCAGAAAGAGTCTGACAGGGGACAGATGGAATCTGAGCTCTGATATCGACTATTTTGTCCACAAAAAAACTCAAAAATGCTTCGTAAGACATCACAGAGAGCTCAATACCCACTGGTTGGTGAATATTGAGGATATCATTAATTACATTAAATAGCATCCATGGCCTGTGAAGAGAAGACATCCTGTGTTAATGTTGGGATGTGGAGTAACGTCTGCAGCATCGCTGACCCATGACGACCCCCACTGTCCCTCAGGCAGGCCGCAGCTTCTCCTCTCTTGAGCGCTCCTCCACTTTCCGTTCGCCAATTCCATGAAGTGCTTCTCCGGTCGTAAGGTGTCATCAAAGCTTTTGAACTTCTTCATCTCTGGGATGATGTGAAAGATGACTCCTGTGTCAACTATCAGAACTCTTTCTTTCGCATCAAGCACAAGACGGCCACTAAAGCATATGAATGACTTTCTCCATCAGCTGCGTGTTTCACCATCTCACGTGAGAGTCTGTCTGAGTGGGGCTGTGGCTGAATGTCTGGCCACAGGTGAAACATTTCAACTGTGCAAAGTCCCTTTTCCCTTCATTTTCACAGTTTTCATCATGGTATCATCACTGTCATAATAGTCTTAAACCTTTTATCTGCTTGGTTTTAAATGTGCTGAATGTTATCTTATCATCACTCTGTGTTATAAGAATGACCAAATGGCTTAATGTCTCTGACAAACCCTTCAGAACCATTACAATCAGCAGCCCATCATTCAATGTCTCTTCAGCATTTCTCAGTGCTGTTATGACCCTCTCACGGTGTGCTTTCTGCAGCAATGCCAGCTCAGGCTGAGGTTGTCCTTGACCTGCATAAGGGTCCCTCACTGCAGGGCTTTTCTTCCATCGCCTGGGGCATCTCACATTACGAGGGAGACTTTAATCATCCAGGAACTAGAATAATCCAGCATATGCTTCCTCATTTTTTGAAGCATCACTGTCATCTTCGTCATCTTCACCCGACTCTGGTGCACGTAACATCATGTATTTGAGGCCCAACCACCTGAAAACGTTGTCTCCCAACACTTGTAGCTCTTTTCATCTCCATCAAAACACAACCATTGCCAGCAATTTCCATATTCCTTTCTTCATTACCTGTTGAAACCTCCACTAAAAGAAAGGATGACCAACGGCCCGGCAACTCGCGACGGAGGAATTCATAACCACAGGAGACAGCAGTAGCTCAGGAGGTAGAGCGGGCTGTCCAGTAATCAGAAGGTTGCAGGTTTGATCCAGGCTCCCACCAAAGAATTCTGCTGTTGTGTCCTTGGGCAAGACACTCAAGCCTGGTTCATGCTTCTCCGTCAGCTCCGCAAGGGACAGACGCGCACCGATTGACGGAAGCGTTTTGCTCTCATACTTCTCCGTCTCCTGGAGAGTGTTGCAAAGCAATTGCCCGGCAGGACAACAGAGGGCGTAGCACTGTTCTGTGGTATCCTGTCATGTATCGGTCCAAGATTGTGTGTTTATATTGTGTTTTTTGTATATAAGAGACTTTTAACACGGACATATTTGTCTCTCATCCTCCTCCACCTCTTCATGCGCTCGCCACCTCCAAACCCACGTTTCCTGTCATTTCCGTCCACAAATAAAACGCTTGCTGCGCATCTTTTCACTCCTCCAGTCACGGGAGAATTAAACATTCATGTTTTTAGAGTTTTTTCACGAGATATTCTTCAAGCTTCTCCGTGTCTGCCGCTAGTTATCCTCGGCTCTCTTTATGTTTTTGAGGGCGCAATGACGGCGGTGTAAACAACAGCGGCGTCCTGACCAATCACAAGCTTGCGTTGTACGTCTCGACTGACGGATGTTTAGAAAAGAGAGCTCGACTCTGTCCGTCCTTGCGGAGCTCTCCGGCAAGCACGCAAGGACGGATAATGGCGTTGCGTGTCTCCGCACTGAAGCAGACGGAGAAGCATGAATCAGGCTTTAACCTGCCTTGCTTTCTGGTGGTGGTTGGAGGGACTGGTGGCACCTGTGTTCAGCAGGCCTCGCCTCTGTTAGTGCCCCCCAGGGCAGCCGTGACTACATATTAACTCATGACCACCTGCATGTGACTGACTGTGTTGTGAAGCGCTTTGGGGGGTTGTAGAACCATAAGAATGCACTATACAAAAGCAGGCCATTTACATGAGAGAACAATGAAATATGCCATGCCACCACTCCCTTACTATTGGAGCATGCTTATTGAAGACAACAAGTAAGAGCTCAACTTATCAACAAAATCAACAGTTCCTGCTCGACCTGATTCACACAGCCAACCACAACTCAGCAGAAATCACCATGGGGCAGTTTGCATACATAAAACACCATGCACCCGCACCTAAAAATACCTGACGTCACACAATCATAGCCACCTTAGCTGTGCAAAACGTGCATAATTATGCCAGGTGCTTAGACATGAGACGATGAGAAAATAAAATCTAGAATTTTGACCGTATTTCTTCTTACGCCTGAGAGTCTGGTGTTTTCAGTCCATCTTTCAGTTCTTCTTCGTCTACATCAAATCCAAGGACATGTACAACATCGCCCCTAAATATGAAAACAAAAGGAGAATCAGCTACTTTTAATACAGTAGAAATGAACACGTGATTGTGTAGCATACCTGCTCAAGGCAGCACTGATGAAGCTCCTTAAAAGGTCTCTTCCAGAGTATCTACACGTGTCTGAAGCGAATATAAACGGCTTTAATAAGCTTTGAACAACACAAATGACACGTTTAATCGTTGACATTTAGTACATTTACCTTGTATTACAAGCAAGCCACCACTATCCGTGCCTTGTAATAGTTCAGACAGCATGTTAGCATTAGCTAGTTATCATGCGTCTAAATTGTCACCTATTTAAAAGAGAAAAGTCAAGTTCGTTTAGACTAATTTGATAACACGTTTCTAGAGTTGCCGTAAGATATGCTTCATAAAGCACGTTTCGTTAACTAACATGTTTAGACTGTTCGAATTATGAAAATCCAACACTTCCGGTTTACGCATTTTCCTTTATTAATGGGAAATGAAGTTTGCTAGAATTTTATGAGCAATGCCTTACTGGGGAGTGACAAGTCCATTGAACTACGCTACCCAGCATGCATCACTGAAGACGTTTCGTAGCGGCTTTGCTGGGATGGTGCGATAGTGGATCAGCTCTGGTGACTAATCCCGCCCCGCCTAACCATACCAACCAATCGAAGAGCTGATTTTAACTGCAATAACCAATCACAAGAGAACAACCCTCCCGCTGCGTACTTTTGGGTGATCTAATTTAGCCTTGGTCCCCCCTCTAAAGAGGCTGCTACCGCGCGGAATAAAGCCCAAAGTCTAGTGGATTTGTATGCCCGCAGAGAACAATTTAACAACTTCATCGGAGTTGCGAATATGGATATACATTTAGCATTCGTGCTAAATTAAGGATATTTTGCATTTCTGATATGTGTTAGAAGATCTGTGAGCTTGAAGTGGACCACATTGTAATCGAGAGAGGAATTACTATTTTTGACCAACGGTGGCTTGTTTCTCCTGTTAACGGGAGCCGTTGTCTCGTATCTGAATCGGTGGGACTACACAACCTGCAACCACAGTAAAGCCTCACCAACACGAAGTCTTCACAGCACCGTGTCTTCGGCTTTGTAGCCGTTAGATTACCCGGCATTCAGGTGCAACCACGCCGGGGAAAACTCCGAGCCACGGCCGATGGTCTCCGGCTAGCGCTTAAGCGGCTTCTCCTTTTTGGATCGAGGCCTTGTCTGCGGGGCTACAATGCTCGACATAATGTCTGATCACCAAGGTATGTTAAATATTGCCAAAACTACTTTTACGTTTTATATCATTGCGCGCATTGTGAAACTGTCGCTTTGTGGGCTTTAAATCTTTCATGTTGTGGCTAATGCTAGTCTTGCATTTGGTTGCGTAGGCTGTAATATGAGCTCGGCTTTCTTCCGATTATCTCGCTTATTGTTGTTAAACTGCAAAGAAAGTTGTGGCGTATTGAATTATTATATTTTATACGACACATTCAGTTGGTTAAATTGGTGTTGTTTAGTGCAGTCCGCGCCGAACCACAATGCTAACGTAAAAAGCTAACTACTTGCTGCTAACCAATATTCACGCGCCAGCTGCGCCAAAACCCTCCTTCGGTTACCACGTTTAAACAAAATTGGTGTGGTCACCTGGCGGAGTACTATTTTAATAATGCCCAGAACTTCAAAGATGACAAACTCGACACGCCCGACAAACTGCTAGCAACATCTTGCTAACGTCAATCTGCTAACACCAGGCTGCTTCTCATTCCAAGTTGAGCCTCCCACTTCCATTTAAAGAGGGTGCTGTAATCGACTAGCTCTCGACTGCCTACTTACATATTCTTTCATAAATCAGATGTAGTTGTTGATGAATTAGATTCTGGAAATTTACAAAATTAAACTAACACCGTTACTGTGCCCGCTGCGAATCGTTTAACCTGCTAGCTTTACAGTGGTAGCCACCTCACTTTCTTAATATGGTCGATGTAAATTAGGTGAGTAAGAGTTGGAGGTCGGTCGTAGACAACTAGCCTCGTCGGCTATTCTATAATTTTGCAACTTTTTACTTCGGTAAATTCGCTACAAAGCTGAAAGGAAATGTGTCTCGACACGCTTGTCCGTAATAATCCTCATTAAGTTACTGAGCTGGTGTTAGCCGGCTAATGCTAACACTAGTTCGTCCCATTTTCAACATGCCTCCAGGAAACCAAATAGCAGCTATGCTTAAAGTGTTTTTAGACACTCTTAACCGCAGTGAGCACAAACTTAGCTGTAAACATTGATACTAGTCTGTGAAATTAACCTCAGAAGCTCAAATGTTTCATATTTAGTTGTTAGCCTGCTAACGCTAACATTAGGCTACCTAAATGTTTACTGTTTCTGATCAAATTAAGAGTGAATCCATACGGGTCACAACTCTAACCTTCCTCCGTGTGTTTTTCTCCCTAGATTCCCTTTTGGCATGTAAAACAGAACCTCTGGTAAGTGTCTCAATATGCTGCTTTGGATCATTTATTCCGTTATTAAAGTTCCACTTCCTGTGATTAAAATGGTGTAAATGTGTTTTGTAGCCCCCAGAGAGGAAAAAGAGGACTGTTGAGGACTTCAACAAGTTCTGCAGCTTCGTCCTGGCTTATGCTGGTTACATCCCTAGTCCCAAAGAGGTAAGTAAAGCTGGGTGGACACTGCGACTTTTTCACTCGTAGCACTCAGCTTCAGCTCAAACTGTACGACTTCCTCGCAGGGCAGATCTCACGAGCCATGTGCTCACACTGTACGACCCATTTCTTGGATGCGACCTGACTGCTCACACTGTACGTCTGGTAGCAACACGTCAGACTTGTTGTCTTGTCTTGCCTGTTGTCCTTCGGGAGTGCTGCAGGGGGACACAGGGATTTATGGGGGTTGGATGAGGAAAACGAAATAAAGAAAGTAAATCTGTGTTTTGTGATCAGTTTAATTTGACATGAACATGACAAACACGCTTTCATGACAATCCTTGTCATTGTATGTAAAATAAAAAAACGTAGAAATAAAAATGAACAACGTGTGTTATTAGGGAAATAGCGGGCGAGCGGTGTTGATGCATGATTACGCATGCGCCGTGAGCGGTTCTGGTACTTTTTGGGTCGCAGCTGCTCGTTGCGTCACTTCAACCCTCACGAGGAACGAGCAAAATATCAAACACTCCAGAAGTCCGTGTGAGCTCACGATTGCTGATCGGTAGCAGGTCACATGGTGTTAATCGCCTCTCGTGACCCCCTGTACACTACACGACGCTCAGCGCAAAACTCGCCACGATCTTGTGGATTCTCGCATGAGTGGAAAATCGGCTCAAAAAGTGAAAAGGTCGCTCGGTGCACGCCCGGCTTAAGAGAAGTCTGGGACACTGGTGTGAAATTTTCACGGGTTTTATGCGCTTGAAACTGTAACTGGAATTAGTTTTAATGTAGTGGCATTCACTCTTGTGTGACAAGGAAGTGAAGTAATGATTGAATGTATAGCAGAAAGTTTTCAGACACAAATCAGTTTATTCTAAATAATAACTAAGTAGAAGATGAATGAGTTTCCTTGGTAGGGTGACTGGCTTCAGCTTTGGAGACGGTATGAGAAGCTTAGACTTCTGGGAGTAGAGCCGCTGCTCCTCCACGTTGAGAGGATACAGCCATGATGGTTCAGGCAATTGTTCAGGATGCCTTCCAGGGTATGACTTGCCAGGTATGTCCTGCTGGCAGGAGGCCCTTGGGCCAACCCAGGACACGCTAGAGGGATTGTGTGTCCACGTTGGCCAGGGAACACTTTGGGATCTCACCGATGGAGGTTGCTGGGAAGAGGTCAGTTTGATCATCACTGCTGGAGATGCTAACCCCACGACCCAGATAACTGGACAGATGGACCTTGGTTGACCTGACCTTACCTCAACTTGACCAAAGAATGAACATCTAGATGAGAAAAGGCCCGGCCACTTTGTCCAGCATCTGCAGCAGACCTGGGATGCCTTTCCAGATGGGAGCAAGCCTTTATATTGGGACAATATTAGGAAAACCTGCGATACGCGATAACAGCGATTAATATTGCAATGACGATATGACTTGCAGTAAATAAAAACTTAACTCGGGAACAACCAAAAAAAAATCAAAAACAGAGAAATTTAAAAAATGTCTAAACTATCATGAAAATGACAAAAGCAAAAGATGTGAGGAAAGGGAAAAAGAAAATAACAAGAAAAGGCATCGGTGGATCCAGGGAAAAGCAGAAAGAGCAGAACGAAGCTAACTCAGGTTTTTGCTAACCATCCAAATAAAGTGCCGTTCGCCTAGGGGGCAGGGATGCACCGATACACGGATACAGATACTGGTATCGGTATCTGCACCGATACTGGTATGGCTTCACTGTAACTTGTCATTTCTGTTCACCTAATATTTGAGTTTTGTGATGATTTTTATTCATATATTTTACTTTTTATCTACCTCAGTCTTTTCCTGTTGAAAGCAGAGAAGAAAATAAAATCTGTATTCCAAAATCATAACATTTTTTTGCGTGGTAGAAGCATCGGTATAGGTATCGGCGAATATTCAGATCCGAGTATCGATATCGTATCGGTTTGGAAAAAAGTGGTATCGTTGCATCCGTACTAGGGGGTGGGCATCTCACCTATGAGAAACCACCCGATTGGCCAAATGGGTGAAGAGCTTTTTGATTAAACTTCATCCTTCGGTTTGATTCACAGAAGGAATTATTTGTAGCAAACGTTTGATCTGACTGTTCATTGCGATTTATTAATTTTTTTCTGGTTTTTTTGCATTCTGCGTATTGCACATGCTGATCTCACAACGGGGATGCATTTGCAATATATTGTGCAGCTCTAACCAGGAGTTAATAACATAAACAAGTACAGGGAACAGGTTTATCCTTTAAGGTTTTCTTTGTAAGAATCAAACATGCATATTGCAACAAGCTAAGTGTCTGGCACAATGAGAATCTTGTTTATATGTTCAGATGAACCAGGTAGGCTGAAACCTGACTGAGAAGCACACGTTTAGTCTTTGACTGCTGTTAAATCACACTTGGATTCAATCCAAAGCACTGTTGTTTCTCGTTACCACTGTTAGGGTGATTACTGGGTGAAGACGTCCTCTCATCTGCTCTTTGTTGCCCTGCAGGAAAGCTCCTGGTCTCCGACCTCCTCCAGCTCTGCACACAGCTCGGGTTTGTCAGCGGACGGAGGCGGTGGAGGCAGCAGCTCCGTGGGTAACGCCTGGGCCGACGGGAGCTCCGACATCCACACCATCCATACGTTTGTACGCAAAGCACGAGCGAACAAGGGCAAGAGCATTCATCGTACACACTCTGACAGCACGCTGCTGGATAAGATGCGCCTTAAGGACTCCTTGTATGGGAGCCAGGCCAGCGCGAAGGCCGAACGCAAGAAAGACAAAAAGCTAAAAAAACTGTCTCTGGGCTCTGCCATGACTGCGCAGGACAGCGGCAGCAGCGAGGGCGAGAAGCGAGCCCGCATCAAACGCAGCAAAAACTCCTCCAAACCGCCCAAGGCCAAGAAGCTGAAGAGTTCAGCCGCTCAGAGCGAGACGGACTCGGAGGCAAGGGGGAGCGAGGCACGGGTCTCAAGGGACGAGCTGTCGACGCACGGGAGCTCCAGCTCCAGCATGCAGGGGTTTGGGAAGACGTCACCAGATGAGTCCATCAGAGACGCAGAGATGAGCTCCAGCGAGGGAGAGACGTGGATCGCAGACGAAGACATTATGGTGGAGTCAGGTAAGATTGTCCTGATTCTCTGTAAATGTTTTTCCTCTTGTCCGTGTGGCTGCAGCGTCTAACTGTGCCGTCCCTCCATCACAGGCGATGACTCGTGGGACCTAATCACCTGCTACTGCGGGAAGCCTTTCGCCGGCCGGCCTATGATCGAGTGCAACCAGTGTGGCATTTGGGTTCACCTGTCATGTGCAAAAATCAAAAAGTCTAACGTTCCCGACATCTTTTACTGTCAAAAGTGCAGAGACTCACGACGGTCAGGACACAAAAAAGACACTTAAGAGGACAAAGGACCAGGGGGAGTTGTGCTTCCTTCCTGTCTATTTTGATTTTCTACAGCCTAAATTATCACCTGGAGGGCAACTGTGTGTGTGCAGTTGTAGAGTTTATTCTGACAATCGCAACAGATTTTATTGACACCCCGAGTCTTTATGGGATGAACTGGACAGCAGACAACCATGAAGGCTGGGAATCCTCACTAATCAGTTCCTATGTTCATTGGCTACCTGGTTTTTTACAATGTTGGTGTTGTGCACAAGCTTGTCCTCTTAATGCATTCTGATTTGTAAACAAGTAGCAGTTGGATAGCCATTTAGCCCTAAGATCCATGCAAAATTTCCTCTGACTAAAGTCAAGTTTATATATATATAGTATATATTAAGAGATGCTGTTTGTTTAGATGATGCTTGATAGGCAGCTCTTTGGTTTTTATGTTTAATTTCAAAGGGATTCTGTTTCTGTTAGTGGTGATAACTGAATGTAAACCCAGAAAGTTCTCACTCCTCTTGGGAAAGATGATTCATTAAATCAAATCAGCATCTGGAAGTTGTGGTTCTTAAACGCTGGAGAAATCATCTGGAGAGGCGATATTGGGCTGAGGCGTTATTTAGCCATAAACATGTCCAAAACTGGAGGTTTTTGAATTTATTTTTTCATCTGGAGAGGACGAGCGGTAACTCGGAGGTTTTGTTTGTGAACGGCTGAAAAATATTTTGTTTTAACATCAAGTTCTTGTTGATTTCTGAACTTTTGGGGAAGCTGGAGGCGTGCTCAGATTGGGACAAGAGAGCAATGTACAAAAATATACAAGCTGAGGCGTTTTCTTCTTACTTTTTTAGTTGTTTCTTTAACCTTTCTTTTTGTTGATGTGAGAGTCCTGGAAAGTCTCCGTTGGCAGTTGCACTCTTCTGTGTACATATCCTGTTCCTTGTACATATGAGAAAGTGAAGAGGCTACCCAAGCAAATTCTATATTTTCTGCAGTCTGTTATTGTTTTCTTTAATGTAGCTTGAAAAATAAAATGCTTTGGGATCATAAAACCTGTTATTTGTATTCCAGGAAGACAGACACACGAGTTTGTCCGATGTTTAATGTTTTTGATCTTTGGCACACAAGCTGTCATGTTTGTCTTCCACCACTAGAGGGCACTGGTTCACAAGAATCCCATTTTACAAAATAAATATACAAAGTTGTGGGTGATGTTCACTCTTCACTGTGGACCTTTGTCTTGTCCTACAAAATAAAAGCATCATTTAGCAGTCATGAACAAAGATTTGGTTAATTTTCAATACTAAACAGTTAAGATGGCTTTAGAAACGACTTTATAAGTAGGTAAACAGGGATTATTAATCATGCAGCCAGTGACTGTTTACATTTCTTACATT